GGCTGGTCAAGCAACCGAAAAATAGATATACATAACCAGATCCATCTATTGCTGTGTGTATGGTTCGTGTAAATTACATAAATACCCAGCTGCATCAACCCGATGATGCAACGCCTTCGAGCTATGATCCTATTAACACGGAGCGGTTTCAGCCAAAAGAATGAACAAATGAACAAAAAGTATTAGATTATGGTAACTATACATATATATATAGATACAATATAAACATGAAACAGATATATGCATACTATACGTGTTGGGTTGTTCCGAGTCCGTTTGGTTGGGGTGCTTTGGACATCACCCGTAGTCGATTTGTGATCTCGGTAAATGAAGGCCGAATGACGGGGTCTGCTGACCAACACTGCTCCATTAATTTCCGCCACTCGGGATCACACCGTTCTGGTATTGTCGGCCGGAGGGTGTCCTTCACAATCCCTCCTGTGATCAAGATTTCACACGTCATAGGTTGATAGTTCCTGATTCCCAAAATAAATGTTCACTAGACACACAGTTTTAGAAATGTGTAATTATTACATCTTTGAGTAAACTACATTTTTCGTCCCTGTGGTGTGTTGAATATTGCTATTTTCGTCCTTGTGCTTTACAAAATTCCGGTTTTCATCCTTGTAGTTTACAATTCATTGCTTTTTTTGTCCTTATGGTTTACAATTCGTTACTATTTTTGTCCCTAAGGTTTACAATTTATTGTTATTTTCATCCCTAAGGTTTACAAATTATTGTTATTTTCGTCCCTAAGGTTTACAATTTACCCGGGAAGAGTCACTATCCTTACTTACCTTATCGGATAACATTTTCGATCATCAAAATGGATTGTTGGTAAGCATCTTTTACCCGGTAAGAGTCTTCTCCCTCACGGGTAAGATTCTCGGTCCTTGCTATGCCTTTTACAAGGTAAGATTTTCAAACCTATTCATACGCACCCGGTAAAGGTAAGTGATACCAGGTAAGCACTTGAACGGTAAGCGTTTGGTAAACGGCCCCTTCTCATCTCCAACTTTAATCACTTTGTTGCAACTAATTATCTAATTTTTTATTATTGTCGTAAAGACCCCCTAATTCCTGAACAAGGAAAACAGCTTACCGATGATTGCCCCACAATGCATGTTTGCATAAGGTTCTTCTCCGGTTAGAATTTCCCACATCGTAATGCCGAAAGAGAACACGTCCACCTGGCAATATCCAAAATTACGTTTTTTTTTTTAAAAACTAGTCACACAAGACATCTCCAACAGATTCTCTAAAATGGAGAAAATGAAGATTTTGGAGTTTATAACCTTTTTTTTTTCTCCAAAATGTCGAAAGTAGGAGAGAGAGGATCAAAACCTCCAAATCTTGAGAACTTCTCTAAAATTAAGTGTTGAAGTTTTTATTGTTCCCGCCATTGAAGTTGAATGTACGATCATTCATATAAATTTGTTGGGATATTAAATCTATTGAATATTTTAATAATATAATTAATGCTAAAATCTCCAAAATGGATAAACTGTTGGAGTTAGAATATAATTCTTTTTGCAGATTTTAACTTTTGCTTCTCCATTTTAGAGAAACTACTTGGAGATGCTCTTAATTTGGCTAACATATTGCAAGTCATATGATGATATAAGGTATTCTAACCTTTTCGGAAACTCTGGTGGTGCTACCGTTCAACAATTCCGGTGCCATCCATGGTAGAGTTCCTCTCACGCCACCTGAAACTAGAGTGTTGCGTTTGATCCTTGACAGCCCGAAATCTCCAACCTGCAAGCGTCATTTGTGTCAAAACACCTTCTTTAAGCAAGTCATACGACATTAATTAAATGCGGGTTCAATAGAATATGTTCTGTATCATAGTGACAAGGTATGGCCCCCGAAGGGCGTACCCACATGGAATGATATGGTGGTACGGGCCACTGCTTCATGGTTCCATCGTAAAGAAAAAAATACGTTTTTTAAGGGTGCCACTGTATTGTTTTGCAAGGTGCCACCATAGTTTTTAGAACTGAAATGTTAACACAAGACTTTAATAGCTAAGGTGGTAAATACTCTTGCCTTTGTAAAAAAAAACGAAGTTCGAGTGCCATAGTTGTCAAATTTGTTGTTTTTTAGGTTAAATTTTGATTTTTTTATATATCTTTTGTGTTTTAGAAAATATATGTAGACAAAACTGGAACATGGGTCTCTTCTATGTAAGGGCAAACAACCAACCAAAAGATCTATACTAATATTGTGGAAAAAATTACAATTTTTTATAGTCAAATTGTACCACCACTTGAAAAAAAATTATGGGTCCGCCTCTGTCGCCCCCTACTCATAAAAAGTAGGAGCGTGCAGAAAGTCATCCGATCCGATAGAACCAACCAACCTTAATTGGATCATTGGATTGGATCCACTAAATCCATTGGATTTCAACCGACGAACACTCCTAACAAAAAGTATTGCAGGACAGTCCGCCTGCATGCACCATAAGTACGCTTAACTTTCAATTACCTTGCAGATGGGTCGTTGCGGATCCCGCATATTAACCAGCAAGTTGTCACATTTTAGATCAAAGTGAACGATATTTTTCAGATGAAGGTATTCCATGCCGAAAGCTGCATCCATGGCTATTATAAGCTTTCGACGACGATCAAGTGATCTGCATAAGAGTTCAAAATCTCAGATATATATATAATTAAGACTCAAATAAGCAACAACAATTGCTTGAGGAAAGAAAGGTGAATTCACCTATCCTTTTTTATCAGGACATTCCTAAGTGATCCATGTGTCATGAATTCGGTAATGGTAGCTAACGTTCCTCCAGATCCATCTGGTACAACCCCATAAAATGCAACCACGTTTGGATGATGAAGATTTGAAAGGATCCGAGCTTCTCTCCAGAAGTCATTGGTCTGGAAAAGATAGAAGTCCATAAGAATACTGTTAGAACTGTTCAAGGGCAGGACCTGCCCTGTCCGGCCCGCTACAAAAGCGGGCTTGGATTACCATTCCCGAAGAAAGAAACAGACCCAGACTGACTTGTTAAAATTAATGGGCGGACATGGGAGATGGGAAAAAATTGGGCAGGCCCACCCGGCCCGTTAATATTTTATATTCCCTCCGCCCCAAGTTGTCCATATTTCTATTTTAGTTTATCCCAAAAATAAGTGTCCGCTTTTGAAAAATAAGTGCATATTTTCTCGTTCTACCCTTAATTATGAGATGAAATTAATTACTCCCTCTATTATTAAGGGTAAAACTGTCATTTAGTTCATTAAAAATATAATAATTACACTTCTCTAAAATTGTCTGCATTTTTCATTGTGGACACTTGTTTTGGGACTGAGGGAGTAATTATTAACGTTTATAATTAAAACTTGCAATAAAATTGAAAATTCTTGATACTTACCAATTCCCACTTGATTATGACTCATGATAATAACACTCCTTAAAAATTTAAAAAGTAAAAACATACTCAATCAGTCAATTGATCAATTCATTATTATCTCATTTGGTCATTTCTTTTATCGATACTCCATATTTTGCAAAACATTTTTTTTTAAATTATGTACATTGTTATGTATATACGTCTAATATTAAGTTGAAAATTTTGTTATGTATATTGAATTATTTTACACAACTTGTGATTTTATACCAGTTTTGTTTTCTTAAAAATATAAAAAGATTTTTAGGCCCGTTAACCCGTGGGCAAGCCTGGACCGTTTACAGCAGGTATGGGCAAGTTTTCAAGCCCGCAAAAAAGGGCTTGGATTTGCCATATTAGGCCTGTTGGATAAGAAAAAATAGGTCAGCCTTGGCCCAATCCCACAAATTATCAGCTCTAAATATTATAGGCTACAATGGCAGTAAGACAGAAAGAATGCAATCATTCCAAAAAAACAAAATAAAAGAATCATAAAAGAATTGTGGAAGAGACCCACCAACCGTTCTTGCTCTGAGGAACGCCCAGAAAAGCAGCTTTTCTTTATCCTCTTAATGGCAACATCTGACCCTCGCCATCTCCCATGGTAGACAGTTCCATATGTCCCAGAGCCCAACTCTCTTAATTCTTCAAGTTCGGCGTTCTTTATTATCTGCATATGCCATCCAAAATCTACAGTTGACGATAGCAGCTAAACTAACCAAAAAGAGCAACTGTTTGGTCGGTTTTTCATCAAGTCCTTATGGATAAAGTTGTCTATGTGAATTAATCTGTTTTGTATTGATTCGGAAGATTTTTGTTTGGGAGGGTTTTCCTATAGATGGAATGAGTGTGTATTTTAATTAGGAGGGGCATGTTTGACTGAACAAACCACTTTCTATATCAATAAGCCGCTATCAAAGACTCATGTATAGTTGATAGAATAAGCTGAGTCCTATTAAGCTACTAACAAACAGGCCCCAAATCAGCTATCACCAATGTTACCACTGTAATTACCACAATTCCAATATGTAGACAGAAATTGTGAAGTTAATACCGTTCTCTTTCCTCACAATTACACTCTTCTCAAAAGATGAATAAATGGTAAGTTTAGAGGCAAATGTGGTGGTAGCCATAGATTTACTCAACCAAAAAAGGTTATAGATATAGAATCCAAATAATAATGTCATAAATAAAGTTTCATGCCGAGGATCAATTCTACTTGATATGAGTAATACAATCTGCCCTTATTGGATACTGTAGATTTTGTAAGTAATATTGATTTAGGGTTGGATTTTGATAAGAATGAGAGTTATCGTGAGAAGGGTAAGAAGGGATCTCCACCCTTGGATCAATCCTAATTGAAGAGATACACTAGATCAACACTAATGAGAATCACCAGATCAATTCCCTTGTACGCAATTCATGGGTTGGTTTGAGATTAAAAGTGATCGAGGGTCCAAATCGCTTCTTACACTTCTCACCTTAACTCCCATTCTCACACAATCCTTTGTCTATTGATTTATACTTGATACTTTAATAGTTGTATCCTCGAAAAATTAAGAGTTTTTAAGAACAAAAACTCAAATACTTTATGATAATAGTATAGATAAGAGAGAGAGAGAGAGAGAGAGAGAGAGAAGATGACCAAAATAAGTAACCGGAAGCTTGGAGATGGCCTAAAGTGACAAAGTCTAAAATGCCTTTACCAACATGATCCCTGCTATTTAACAGAACCACCTCTCATGATAAGCCAAAAATAGTTCAGCCATCTTTAATGTGAATAATTGTCTCAGTACTTCAGTGGAACTCGACACCAGTTCGGGTATGTTTGGCAAAAGTTACTCAAAACATCATATGTAGAAATAGAATGTACCTGGAGACCATATATATCAGCTTCCATTTCAGCTATTAATGCATTATTGAACGGGACATCCTGATCTCCATTATTCATTGCAGCATCCTACATAATACGAAAATACCATACCCATAAGCCAAAAAGCAATTGCTTAATGTAAACTTGAAATTTCTAAAAGTGCTGAAGTTGAACATTTTTTTTGCTTAAAATTACCTACCAATTCCTAAATGCAAGTAGCTTTTTAGTTTCTCAATGAGGTTTAGAACTGTGTATCACTGCCATGAGCTACAAAATGTAAGAGCAATTTATTTATCAAGTCAGGAGTTGTAAGCAAGTAAGATTTCTTCATTTCAGTTCATTAAGTGCTTTGACCCAGCTTAACCATCAAATAACAAGACTTACGGTCGGTAATACATAAGAGAAGTTTCAGTCAACCCAAGGAAGCTCAAAATTACAAATTATGTATATTTAATTTTTTATGGTACTTCGTCACATACACTACAGCTTGGATCATCAATAGGTCACTGTGTGAATAGAAAATATTTCGAGCTTGAAAGTAGGTGGTTTCAAACAAACTGGACTAAAATAATATCTGGTGAAGCTTGAGATCATAACCAACCCCAAGTAGGGTGGATTAAGGGGCTGTTTGGTTGGTTTTCCATTAAGTCCTGTGTGGATAAAACTGTCTGTATAGATTAATCTGTTTGAATAAATTGAGAAGGTTTTTGTTTAGAAGGGTTTTTTCATAAATAGAAGGATCGTGTTTTTTAATTGTGATAAGCAGGTTTGAAAAAACTTGACTTTCAGCATAAAGCTCCCCCTCTGAAAACTTACTGAATAAGCCACTTTCTATATCATTAATCCCCTAGCGAACATTCATTAAGCTGCTAACAAACAAGCCCTAAGACTAATTGGGTGTCCTATAACATCCTACATTCAGTTAGCCAAATTTCAATTTGTGGAAAGCCTTCGATGGCTTCCTTATGAAAACAAGCGACACTTTGTTTCACTCCTTTCATTTATACATTAAGAGTCGTGCTTGTTCAAGAAAGAGAGAGTCCCTTTGATGGAGAGAAAGTTCAATTGGCAGTACAAGTGCAAAATTAGGTCCAGTGACTTGACGAGACTGCAGCATAATGAGATGATGAAGTGGATATTGCCAAAACCATGAAAGTTTGGTGTTTATTTTTCTACATATACTATTAGCTTTCCAGAATTGATTGATTTTTAGCAGAGGGTCTTAATGATTTTCAATAGTTATCTTTCTCCACTTGTCAAAATGTTTGGATGCAACCTTGATGACATAGGATCTTAAAAATTGAATAATAACATTTCATAGAAAACTTTCATACCTTAATACTAGAATCGGAGAGAGTATGTTCAGCTTCTGTTGCACTTGAAGGGAGAGCTTCAGTGTTGACTGCACCCAACATTTTTGAGCGACTTGTAGTATTACTGACGTCTCCCAAAAGATCATTCAACTCCACTTGTTTTTGTTCCCTGTCCTTGGATGATGACGGGATTTCCTTTCGTACCTTATCATGACGTTCTTCATGACCCAAGTTAGCAGCTTTCCGGCTGGGATAATTGAAGTTGTCATCTATGAGTTTCCCAGCATTCTTATTTAGATGTTCCTTTACATCCTCATTGATACCCATTGCATCCTCATGGACTCTGCTCAAAGACTCGGAGCCAATAACCCTTTGCAGAATATCAGTTCCACTATAAGCAACAGAAGAACTCACATTTGGTGCGACCATACCAGCACCAATGCATGGGGTCCCATCAAAACTCCGCAGTTCAGGAATCACATTTGGCATATTGTTATCAAGTTGTTCAACAGGCTTCCCCTGCAAAACAGAAGGTGCCAGCTGTGAAGGTAAAAGTGGTAGTGCAAAGCTCAATGTAGAAGGTAGATTTGATCCATCTTGAGAGCCAAAGGCAGAGGTTGCTCCAAGTTCCTGAAGCTGGGGGTCGGAAACTGCATGTGGTATACCCAGATGAGAGCCATTGGGTCCCACATATTGCTTCACTTGATCAGAAGGGTGTAAAATACGATTTTCAGAATGAAATGCCCGGCCCTTGAGTATTGGGATCTCGATACTATCGGAAAGTGGATCGTTGTACATTTGTGCATGACCATTAAGCCGAGCATCTTGTGGCACTAAAACAGGTGAAACAAGAAAGGATGGATCAGATGCAACCAATATTTGAGATTCAGAAACACGTGGAGTGACATTCGAGATATTCAGGCCACCATTGTTTTCCAGAGGATTCGACTGACTGATATCATTTGCCAAAAACTGTGGATCGTTGTTTCTCAGAGGACTATCGTCAACTATTCCATTCACGGCAGCTACATACAGATAATCCGGATTGTTTTGCAGACTAGCATTGGCTTCAATGGTTATTGTACTTTCACATTCAGTCAGAGGAATTAAAAATATCCTGAGTCTAGGGGAACCTTCACGACTTCCAAGCCCGTTGTACTCCTCTATCATATTCTGAAGATCCTCATTAGAAGACACGGATATAAGAGCATCAAGATCCTCTCCCGGAAGCTGGTACTTGATTGTGTGAGGCTGATTGCAAAATTCACTAGTTCGCTTTACAAGTTCATCAAACAACATATTCTTCTGTATCGAAAAAATACGTGTCTCACCTCCCACATATCTCAGTTTCCCATCACTAGGTCGATGCAAAATTTTACCACCAGAACTGCAAAGAAACTTTATTTTTCCTCTTTGAGAATCATCTGAAACACCCGACCCTGAAGCTCGATGGGACAGAGATGGAATGGAATTAATGACCGGTGGTCCTTTTGCAGAAATGATATCAGCTGAACTAGAATTACATACAGAGTCCCTCTGCGACCCAAGCATACCATTAAGTTCCTTGTAACCAATATGCCCATTGACATTACTTTTTGACCCAACTACTGTACGGTGATTCTGGTCCATATCATATCCATTGGGAATTCTTTTTGCACCACGATCCTGAAGAAACTCCATGGAAAACTCTTCACCTGTTCTTAGAGATATATTGTTATTTGAACTCTTGCCCACTACTAACCCATCTTTTAAAATAGCAGCAGAACCTGAATCTTGCTCAATCCAACGACCAGGAGAGCATGCCTCACTGGTCATAACTGCAGCTATATACTAGGATCACTTGTTCTTGTTCAATTGTATCAGAATTATGCCTTTACCTCTAACATTCTCCAATTTATTCGCACTTATGCAGTAAAAACCCACGTCAGCAGGGCACTTATGCTAGAAGCAGATCTTCATGATCATGAATGAAATCAATCCTAGTGTCTTCTTCGCAATGAATTAACAGCTAACGACCAGACTTCTTTGTCTACCAGACGATATTCTAACAAGAAATCAAACAACTACTGCAACTAATCATGTGCAAATTTCGCACCTCCAAGCTCCACCCAGATATCTAATGCAGCAAACGCTTATCTTGCACTCGCTCTTCCTCTAAATCATATCGCTGACTCCATAAAAACACAATAAACAATAGAATTTAAACAACTATTAAAATTAAACAAGCTGACGATCTAGCAGATGCTTCATAGATATAAGCAAAATAAAAAAAAATAAAAAAAAAAAACTTCTACAGAATTCAAGTAAATCCCTAACTTTTGACCTTCGTATCCAACAACCTGTACCCCGACTAAAAGCAATTCAAGCCGAGCAAACCAGATCACAAGAGCTAACGGATTAAGTAATCATCAGTTACCCTACGCTTCAGAAAAAAATCGAAAACGGAAAACGATAGGAAACTATAAATCGACACATAATAGAGATATCTACTTTGTAGAAATCAGAAGCTTACCTGATTCTTCGTTATCTGTGCTTTACTTCGGTTTCCTTCGGTTGTACTTCACATATTGACTAAAGAAACAAGCGGAATTCATCGATTTAAGAGATTGGATTGCTAGATTGGAAAACAATTGTAGGGTTTTATACTTGAATCGAACGAATGACGCTTGAACACATGTGGTGGAAAGGATTAATTAAGATTTTGCAAGAGAATTGGCTATGGCGGATACAAATTGACTCGCCATTGTCAACGCAAACCTTGATTCAAACTGCTCTTTTCCTTCCGTATTTTATTTTATTTTTTGATCGAGTAAACTACGATTTTCGTCCCTGTATTTTATTATAGTTTTCGATTTCAGTCCTTGTACTTCGGAAATTACTGTTTTCGTTTATGTGGTTTGCAATTTACTTATGTTTTTAACTTGAGCAAACTACAAAGCTGGTCCCTGTGGTTTATCAAAAATAACACTTTTAGTCCCTACAGTTTCAAAATTAAAAGATAATAATCGTGGTTTTTAAAAAACTCCGTTAATTAAAGACATTTCCGTTAAGTAAAGTTCACTTTTGGTCCCTAGCATCAATTTCAATGGTTTTCGTCTCTTAACTTTATTTTTACAGATTTGTCCCTCATGTTTGACACCTTGCAATGATTTTTGTCCCTCCTTCTAAAAGTTGTTATTTTTTTTTGTTAAGTCCAATTTTATGAGGGGTATTTTAGTCATCTTACATGTTTTCTTAATATTCTTGTTTTTTTATAAAAGCCATCAAACTTTAGGGGGCCTATTTATGTAATTAATACTAATAATATATTATTTATACTATATTATAAAGTATTTGATAAAAACTCTTAAAAACCATCTTTTATAAAATGAAGCACAACTTATTGATGTATATGACTTGAAGATTCAAAATTACAAGTAAATTGTATGTAAGTATAACTTATTAAGCTCCATGTTTGAATTTGTGTAACTAACTGTAGATAAATATAACTAAATACAAGATAAACTTCTCATTTAAAATATAATTAGAATAATTATTGAGTTCTAACAGAATAATTAATTATTATCTTTATAAAAAATTATATTATTAAACCAAAAATAAATTATTTATTATTAAATCTAAATTATATTATAATAAAATTTTGAATTAAAGAAATGACATAGAGGGTTCGTGAGACCCGTGAGATAATTTTTTTATACTTGAAACTTTACAGCAAAACGCTGTGAATGTAGTTTTTGGATATCAAACAGACCTTCCTGTAAGGTAATTTTAATGTGGCCCATGTCCCTTGTTTTGCAATTAGTTTTACTACAACGCACATTGCTCTAGCTAATTGTCCACCATTTTCAAGTGTTGTTTCTACATTATGTATGATCGTGCCTAACTGGATTAAATTCGTCATGAAATATTATGTTTTTTTTTATAAATTCAATGGTTTGTATAATAATGTTCAAAGTAAAATAATCAAATTGAACCAAAGGGCCCTTGACATAGCGGTATATAAGTCTTTGGCCTCCTGGGAGGTCAGAGGTTCAAACCTTACCAAAGATGAGGAGGGTGTGTGAATTTATTTATTCTATTTACCGTATATAAATATTATATACTTCGGAAAAAAAATCAAATTAAGAAATCATTCTTGCGGTTTAGTTATAATACATAGTACAACTCTATACGACTATTCAGTGATGGGTTGGGTTCACATGAGACCAGCCTGTTTTCGTGAGACCCATGAGACCACATTTTTACACGTAACTTTCACAGCAAAAACACTGTGAAGGTTTAAAAAAATTCGAACCTTCACAGCAAAAACACTGTGAAGGTTTTTAAAAGTCACCTTCACAGCATTTTGCTGTGAAGTTTCAAGTGTAAAATGTTGGTCTCACAGGTCTCACGAAAACAGGCTGGTCTCACATGATCCCAAGTCATTCAGTGATAGAGGATTGAATTTATTAACAATTAAAGAATTGTGGTTTTTATTAAAAAAAACATTAGAAAATGATGGGTATTTTCGGTAACCTTGTGTTTTCAGGCAAGGATATGCAGACCGACTAACCTCCAGGGCAGCTGAATAGCCTGAAGTCATTGCAGTTGAACCTTCATCACCATAAGGGCTCTAGCAGCGTCTAGATTTGTACCCGGAGTATAAAAGATAGTAGTGTGAAAACGAAAATAAGACCCGGCCCCAAGTTGTTTTAAGAATAGTATCGTTGAGTTTCTTGACCCTTTGCCTTGAGACTTAATCAATATGCCACAACCCCAATGGTTACTAACTAATAGTATTCTTACAAATTCATCTAAGGTCATAAGAAAAATAAAAACGAACTAAATCAGACAAACCCAATAAAATCTTTCACAGAGTTGGGTTTGAGATAAGATGTACGCAAACAAGTCCTCTACCATAAATGGTAAGAGTCGTAGAGAGGTCGTTTTTGGCTATGTTTGGTGAACTAGCCGAGAAGCTAACTGATAACTGAAAAGCTAGTGGTTGGTAAAAGATAGCTTATGAGTAACCAAATACTGTTTTTAAACGACCTCGAAAAATAAGTTATGGTCGACAAACATAACCTCAATGAAAACTTGTAGTTTGCAAAACAAAAATGAAAAGAAACAAAAGACCAAGTTACGTCTGAACATTAATTGATTTAGTCTTAATAATTTTTACAACATGGATCTGTTTCTACAATTAAACATGCACCAATAACTAAAGATGCACAAAGTCTGGGCTTTTTCAAGTCCGGTCCCCAACATTCCAAGCCCGTTTTTATTGAGTAAAAAAAGTCTGGGCTTTGAGGTTAAGAGCCCGATAAGCTTTTCAAGTTCTTCAAGGCCGGGCTTTTTTCAGGCTGAGCCTAGGCCCGGGCCAGGCCCCAAAATAGCAACCTTATTAGGCTTTGAGGCCTGGTCTAAGGCTCACTAGGTCCGGCTGGGGCCGCACTTGGCTAGGCTTCGCTCTCGGGGTTTTTTTTGCATCTCGACCAATAAGCATCCATGTCAAGCAAATCTATGTAAAAGAGAATCCAACTAAAAGAACTTCATAAATACAAGTAAAATAGATACATAATGCATACACTAAAAGACTCAAGTAAGGGTGAGACCTTACTATATAGGGTTTTCTTACAAGATAACCAAAGAAAAATAAACATGTATATGGAGTATCTATATATGGCGAAAAAACCGAAAAGAAAATTCTAAGCACGGTCGCCTAATAATACGAATGGGCTTTTGTTTATATATGTGATTGGATGCTTCAGAAAACCCAAAATGAATTGTATTCACAAAGTCGATCAATTCGGCATGCGTGGGAGAAGTTCATTATCACTAATATTCACATGTGCATACGGGTCGATGGTTTAAGTTTCATTTGGTAAAATTACCTTAAATGAAATGTTATTGACCGCTACACTGAGGAAGCTCCTTGATACTAGGAGGCGTGTGGACGGTCGATTTGGGGATTGTTGGGCCTTTGTCCTTGCTCCGAGAGTTTTCTCATAAGGTTGAGGATGGTGGGAAGAAGCTTCGTGGATAACGAGAGAATTCCTGGAAGCTGGAGAGACGCGAACAAGAAACATAGAAAACAACAATGATATGAGTGAGTTCCTGTTCTGCAAAAAGGGTATGACGCCACCCCCACTATACTGGTCCCAGGGTCATGGGGGATAAATCACATGTCTTAAAAGCAAGTTGGTGGTGCCCGGAGTCGAACCCTATACCTCTCATTGTGTAAGCATGCCCACCTACTTAGAGCAACTCCAACGGATTATCCAAAATGGAGAAAATGGATAGTTTGGGTTTTTTTACTTTAACAGATTCTCCAAAACCTTCTCAAACATGGATAAAGTAGGAGAGAAAAGAAAAAACTCTCTAAACATGGAGAATTCCCTAAAAATGGTTACTTATGTGTGACAGTGTGAGAAATAATATTTTATTATTTCCATCAATAAGAATATTTGAAATTAAATATCTAAGGAGAAACAAATAATATTTTATTAAATGTATTGAATATTTTAATAATATAATTGATGCTATAATCTCTAAAATAGAGAATTTTTTGGAGACGAATGTAATAAGTTTTGGAGATTTTGATTTTTGACTCTCATTTTGAAGAATCTGTTGGAGATGCTCTTACACGCTAGGTTGAGGCTATGATTGGCAACCCGGGTAAAAAAGTTAGTTGTTAGCTGATAAACTAGTCACATTTGATATAAACTAGATGTTAATGTAAATTGACCTAAAATGACACGTTGATAATTTACCTGGAAAAATATAAGGGACTTAATTGGAAAAAAAAAAGGGGGGGGGGGGGAATTTTTCTAGAGCTTATTGAAAGGCTGCTAGAAGTAGCATTACAAAAAGCTGGCTGATAGTCAAGCAGGATTTTTCAATAAGCTCAAAAAATAAGCTAGGTTATGGTTGACAAACATGGGTGTGGGGACTATTACCGACTTCCTAGCACATGAAAACATCATAAAGCACTTACAAAACCATGTCGGAATTCAGCGCCTATGTCTAGTTGAACCCACAAAGCTTTCAGAAGCAAAAACGTGACGAAAATCAAAATCATATACAAAGGATTCCTGCAAATAGTAGAACGAACAGGTAACGCTTTAGTAACGAGGTAATGAGGAGTAGGGATTTGAAGATATGAATAGAGTGAAAGAACCTCAAAAGTGTCATGAATTCATTGAATCCCAGAACAAACAAGGCCATAATAGCCCATGGAGGTGGTAACCAGTTGCTGCTTCGCTTGTTAGCTTCCTGAAGATGAACTTATCATGTGAGCTTATAAACCGACACTGCCATATAACTGAGATTCAAGTTCTTTTACGAAAAAATAAATCAGAATATATGCAAAAATGACTGGGGTTAAAAGGCGGTAGAGCTGGCCAATAGAACTCTAAAGGGGATATATATCTTTTTGATTTATTTAACTACTTGGATTTACGGGATCCAAGTGAGCTGAATGCATGAGCTACCATGTGAAACTACTTTTGCATGGTGATTAAACTTTATGCGCCATATTCTCACATGGTATCAGAGCCAAGTACGATCACTTTAAGGACAGGATACTCTAGAATAATTTATTCCTGTTTAACCCCCTCTCGACACTCTAAGACAATTTGCGTCGGTTAAGTCTTCGTTGAAAGAGGCATGTTCGAGCCCCACATCCGCTAGACTTGGATCTTTTCACCTCCATATACATTGGAACCTCTCTTTTCTTCTCAAAAACTTTTTCGAAGAATAATCTAATGGGGTTCCACATATTCTTTCATGGTATCAGATATGGGGTCTACCACCTTGCGGGCACAACACTGTGCTAGGCTAGCCTCCGTCAGAGGGGGCGTGCTAGAGGTCCATATCGGCTAGACACAATCCATTTAACAACTATATATGTTGAAACCTAGCTTCTCTTTTTAATGACTCTTTTCGAGAGTAATCTAATGAGGTTCCGCATATTCTCACAAAGAACACAAACCCAAGTTTACGGGATCTAGTCCTCCCTCTGTCCCAAAATAAATGTCCACAATGGAAAAGACTTGGTTTTTAAAATATTTAACTATTGCGCTTCCTAATTAAGTAAATGACAATTTTACCCTTGATAACGGAGGGAGTAACAAATTTCTCCATCTCATACTCAAGGCTAGAATTGGAAATTAGGCACTTTTGAAAATGGACACTTGTTAGTAAGTAATAGTCTCGGTCAACATATTTGTGGTCAAAGTGTGTTGGTAAAACAACATCCCTTCTTACACCTCTTACCCGATAAAAGACGGTCAGGAGGTAGTAAATAGAGTTATTTGCATGGTTGTAATTGTTTAAATGATGTCGAAGCTACTATTAGGAAGAATAACATAAATAGCAAACATGCCTGGGAAGTAATAGCTTGAGTGACGGTATACTCTGTCTCTCTTTGAAATTGGCCCCAAATTGATTTGCACTGAACAGGAGTAATTAACGTCCTTGACGCTGGGACCTAGGTGTAAACAAATAAATCGCCAAAATATGCAACAGAAGGATCATACTAATAAAACAATTAACACACCAAGGTTCAGAGGAAATCAAAAATATTTCCAAGAGGCACAAAATAATTAGCATAATACTATAAAACAAAACAAATACTAATTATAAAAATACGGTTTCATTAAAAATGACATACAAGTGGTTTTTGGCAACACCCAAGTGGTTTTTTTAATCTCTCTTTCTCTTCTTTTCTGCTGCTGAAATTATAAATACGGTTTCATTAAAAAAGAGCCAACGCGATTCAAAGTTCAAACTTGCAACCTATAATGCCACGTATAATAACAGTGCCAGTAGGTTGCAGCCACTTTTTTTCAACTTTGAGCATACATGAATTTAAAGCGGATACACCTTTAAGACCCCTATATAATTCTTCCCTCAAGTCCAGACAATAGAGCAGGACACGTGGCACCCCCTAGGCTATACTGAATCCGCCCCTGCCAAGTTTGTTGGATAACTAGGTTCGTCGATTCAGTTTTGTCCAGTAATATTACTTATCAAATAGAGGAGTAAAAATAGTATCTGCATTCAGATGTTTTATTTGGAAGGTTGTCGTGAGTTATGCCCAGACTAATCCCAATAATTTATTACTGTAAGACATCAGCCTTGATAAGCTCAGTGGTCATAGTTGTTATGGACACCTGGAAATTTAGGACAGATGGGATATTCCACCACATCCCCTGGCCTCAACCACTACGCCACAACTCTTTTGGTTACATTCACATACTTTCATCGAGTATTCCTCCATAAACACAAGTGATACCTTTTCCCATGTGCTTGAGGCCAATGGATCATTTGCAGTGGAGCTCTTATCGACCTTCTTTGCATCCAATAGAGTAAGAACAAGTGTCTCTGCAATCCTATCAACAGCATCTCCATCCAAACGAATTGCAGCCATCACAGATAGCAACTTTAAAGACTGAAAGATGGCAAGTTAACAAATAAGAAGACAGAACATGTTAATGCTATAAGATTCTAGATCATAAAGAAGCTGATGTTTCCATCAATTATTCTTTAATGCAGAGATTCTTACAGAAGAGCGAGCTGTTTTAGTAATTGCTCGGATATCTTCCTTTCCGGTCCAAACCCGAGGCATTTGATCGTTATCATGATTAAATATGGTTGTAAACCTGTGCATGGTTTTTCAGATAATCACATGAACATTAAGAAACTAAGAATAGACCCAACTAACTCAGCAATTTTGGGCCTCATACTTAGAGGTATTAAGCAGTAATTAATGGGAATGAAATAAAAGGAACTGTTTTGGTTTTACATAATATAATGGGCTCATTCCCCCATAATCCCAAATTCTCATTCCAGGTTATTCTGGGGGGATTGAAAATTCATTCCGATTTTCATACCATGTTATTTTCATTTTCATTCCCCTGCCGGAACCAAACGCCCCCTAACAAAAGAGCCCAATACCTTTCTTTCATGAGAGATAGAACTCTGCCAGCTTCTTCTTTAGCCTTATTTTCAACTATATCTCTTGCATGATTCCTTAATTTCGAAAGGAAATCCTTTTTGGAGTCTTCATTCATTTCAAAGCCAGAAAGTGCAGCAGAACACTCGGCGACAGCAGCTTCAGTCTCACGTTTAAAAAGTTTTCTTATTGCAGGCCAAGTATCATCATTGGCTGCTTGTAGAAGAGCTTCCACTGGTCCATTCAATGACTCCTTTAGTTTCGACTGCAGAAGAATTCACACAATTGATACATATCTCATGAAAAGGAATAAATGAAGGTAACGAAGGTAAAAGCTTTCAAGATGCTATTACCTCATATTGTGTAGAAAGATCGGATAGCTTCGCATTACGAACATCAGCAATATGTGCATCAATATCTTCTGAAAGCTTATCCCTTACTTTAGATGAGTCCCACTCAGATTGTTTGATGATGGCATCTGTGGATTCAGTTTATTGAGCCCAAAAATTCATACCATGTTTAAGCTCATACAGTATGCTAATAATATCATCACAAAATAGTTATTTTATTCCTTCCCATATATACAGCAGCAAAAGATGCAGTCCTACTAAATTCATATGTGTGTGTATATATATAGAGAGAGAGAGAGAGGAAATTTCGGTTACAAATCCGTTTTCGGTTGTGAACTAGGAAATAAAGGAGAGAGCTACACGTGTCCCAGGTGTCCACATTCATCATCAATAATGAAGGTGAACATTCGTGAACTATTCATGATGAATGATACAACACTCACGATACATGATATATTGATACACCATTCATGATGAATGATACCCCATTCATGATGAATAACCCATGAATGTATTGGACACGTGGCGTGCTCTCTGTTTTCCCCTAGTTCACAACCGAAACAGGCTTTGTAACCGAACCGACCCCTATATGTATATATATATATATGTATGTATATATATATATAT